AGCACTGTTTTTCTTGCATTTTTGCTCAAGGCTAGCACTCTACCACTTGAGCATAGCTCCTCTTCCAGCTTTCTGGTGGTTAATTGGAGAGCAGAGTCTTACAGACTTTCCTGCCTGGGCTAGCTTCAAATCACAATCCTCAACTCTCAGCTCTTGAGTAGTTAGGATTACTGGCATGAGTCACTAGTGCTCATCTTATACTTTCTATTTACCCACAGTCGTTGGTTTCAAACATAAGGCAAAACAGGAATCCAAGTGTGCCTATGCTTACCTGGGTACTGGATCTAGAATAGTGTTAGTTGTGTGTGTGTGTGTGTGTGCTTGCATGCTCATGCACGTGTGTGTGTGTGCGTACATGTACTGGTCCTGGGGCTTGAATTCAGGCCTAAACACTGACCCTAAGCTTTTTTGCTCAAAGCTAGCACTCTACCACTTGAGCTCCACTTCCTGCTCTGTGTGTGTGTGTGTGTGTGTGTGTGTGTGTGTGTGTGTGTGTGTGTTGCACAGACTTTTCTGCCCAGGGTTGGCGTCCATCTCCTCCTCAGATCATTGCCTCATGAGTAGGTAGGATTATAGATATGAGCCACTAACAATCTACTGATTTTTATTTCTTTATTTTCTTGTATAAGCCACCTCACCTGGCTAATGTTCAACTTTTAAAAATTCTTAATCCTCTGTTGTCATCTGCTGACTTCTAAGTATTTAATCTGCCCACATTTGAGAAGGTAACCACTAAGGACAGGATGTATCCCAAAAAACAATGGCACTTAAAAAAACTATAATTATAATAATTAATGTTATCTTTCCTTTTATGAAGCTCTTGTGTACATTATTACATTTGACCATCACCGGGACTTGTGTAAGATAGGTATTAAGCCTCTTTTGCTGGTGCAGAAGCTTCATGATGAAAGATTAGATGAAGCCAGGTGCCAGTAGTTCACAACAGCATTTGTAGCTACTCAAGAGCCTGAGATCTGAGGATCATGGTTTGAAGCCAACCTGGTTAGGAAAGTCTCTAAGGTTATTATCTCCAATTAATCAGCAAAAAGCCACAATAAAAATAGTAGATTTATGGCTCAAGTAATAGAGTGTGGACAGTGCCCAGGCCCTGAGTTCAAGCCCCATTAAAAGAATATTTTTTTTAAAAAAGGAGTAGATGAATAATAGAGTCAGACTTCAAGCCCTTCAATGACAGAAGAAATATGCTTGTTTTCCAGACTCCAGAATCTCCAGACACCTCCAGACACCAGACTCAGCCTCCTCTGGCCCATCCAATCTCCAGAAGATATGTCCACTTCTTGATTTGTGGAATCATTATACCCAGTTATGCCCCCAAGGAAGCAGGCATGAAGTAGGAACCCACATAGGTGGGTCTTAGTTCCACTGACTTCGTTTGAGATATGCGCAGGTGCCTGGGGACTCTACTTTTGAAAGAGCTGCAAGGCCCCTAGAGAAAGAGGCCCTACTAGAAGGACATAATGAGAGGAGGAAAAAGATATATGTGACAAGTCTGGAAGGAGGTGAGTGCCATTTATATCTTCTCCCATCTCCGATAGTTTTTTGAGACAGTCTGACCATGTAGCCTAGTTTGGCCTAGAACTTAAAATTCCTCCCACCTCTGCATCTGAGTGCTGAGATTGCAAGTATGCACTATAATGCCCAGCTTCACATCACCTTCTGATCTAGCCTCCTGGGCCCTAGAGAGAGGAAACTGTAATAAAAAAAATTGAATAAAAATGTCATGCACTGAAAAAAAAAATGTCATGCACTGATGGTTCACAGTGTTTTTCTAGCTACTCAGGAGGCTGAGATCTGAAGATTGAGGTTTGAAGCCAGTCTGGGAAGAAAATCTGTAAGATTCTTATCTCCAATTAAGCACTGAAATGCTGTAAGTGGAGCCATGGCTCAAGTAGTTGAGTCCTAGCCTTGAGCAAAAAAAAGCTAAAGGACAGTGCCCAGATCCTGAGTTTAAGGCCCAATACAAGCACCAAAATTTAAAAAAATTAAAAAAAAAAGGAAGAATGAAAGAAAAAAAGTCTGTGGCTAGAGAGGAAAGGACTAAGCATACTGCTATCAACTGCTTTCCTTCAGCACCTGGGCCCTCAGGAATACTAAGGTTTCTAGAAAGGAAATGGCAGGCATGCCACCAGCACCTATCACCAATAAAATGCCAGTTTGCTTTGGTAAATGTCATGGGTCAAGGCATTTCTGGAGCAAACATTAGTCTTGAGACATGGGCCCACAAAATGGAGCCCTGGTAGGCATCCAACAGAGTACCCATTTGCAGTTTCCTTTTGTGAACAAACATACCATTTGCAAGTACCTATTTTTTAAAAAGTAATCTCACAGCACTTTTAAAAACTGTGTTCTAAACACTCATCAAGCACTCGTTTGTTAGGGAGGAAAGCTGCCAGGCTTGTTGCAACACATGATTGCCTCAACAGTCTTCAGGAGAAGCAACAACCAACCCTCATAGCCCGAGATGACCCATCAACGTGGCCCTCTTCTAATCAACAGCCCTAACACAGTAGAAACTCCTTCCTACCCCATAGCATACATGCACAGACATGCACACATGTACCTCTGGGTGCCCAGAGAAGGCAGCTTCTGCTGTCTCACCATTAGGAAGTCATTTTGTCAGGCCCTTAAATGTGGATGATTGGAAACCTGCTCACATAGTTGACAACACAAAAGCCAGTTGTTTGGTGTTTTGTTGTCTCCCCCCCCCAAACTTGGCACAAAGATGTTATGTATGCTTAAACAAGAATTGCTTTTTAATAGTTTTATTGTTTCATTAAAATGAATCTAAATACCCATTTGTGTTTCAGAATAAAAGTAAAAAATTAATCTTTGATCAACACATATCTTGCCATTAATTTTAATACACGTGAAGCTATTATCAAATCATAAAAATAAATAAATTCTGTCCAGGCATTGGTGGCTCACACCTATTGTCATAGCTACTCAGAAGGCTGAGATATGAAGATCAAGATTCAAAGCTAGTTCAGGAAAGAAAAGTCCATGAGTTAATCAGCAAAAAGCCAGAAATGGAAGTGTGGCTCAAGTAGTAGAGTGTCAGCCTTGAGAACAAGCTCCATTAATGTTAAAAATAATTACTTTAAAAAATTCTGACATGTTGGAAGTCATTCCTCTTTTCTGGAGTTTTGTCTATGTCTCCTCAAAGCTAGACATGTCCACAGACACCAGAAGCACAGAGGCCTTCTAAGAACTTGAGAGCTGGTATATTTCCTCTTTATACAGATATATGTGTTTGCTTCTGTCCTTGGAATTCAGGATAACGTTAGGTGGTGCAAGGAACTGGCACACTCTCTGAATTCCTTTATAACCATAGTATTTTGGGTCTTTAAACATGACACTTACTCAGTAGCCAAAGTAATGGCTGAGGAAGAAAGGCCCACAGGAGAAAGATCACAAGTCCAAGACATGGAGACACTACTGACTAAGGGAAGAATGAGGACAAAGTTCTGCTGATGTAACTTTATCTCCAAACAAAGACAAAAATTAAACATTTACTTTTCAGGAAACTCTGGGCTTTGTGTCCATCCCCCTCTCTGGTTTTCCCAGGCATTCTCAGAGAACAGCTGCTTCCAGAGGTGACTCTTTGCTCAAATACAGATGAAATGAAATCAGAGAGATTTCTCCAGTCTTCATTGGCCCATTCTACTTAAGTTTGAGTCACACTAGCAAGGCTTCCAACAAAAGCTTGACAAACATTTTACCCTTGCTGGCTTATAAACTGACATCTGTGCTCTGACTGTAGCCAAAGCCATTGCTCTTTTCCTGGAGTGGTTTCCCTTCCCTTCCCCGAGAAACTACAGCTCACTTCCACATTCTGGAGTACCTTTTTTTATGTAAGAGTTATGTGACTGGCACCCCACTCTTCCTTTCCTTATATAGTCAGAATGAGAGGAGAGTGCCCCTGAGACTGTCAGCCCTCATTTTACACATGAAGGAAACTGAAGAACAGAGACAGAGATATGAAATGCCCAAAGAATATACGGTGTTCCTGGGAGTAGAACTTTTCCAACTCACCATACAACTTCTAAATTTTGTTAGGAGTAATTTCTAGAAATAAAGGCTAATTTTAAAGTTACTAGTGAAAAATGGTTGCTTAAAGGAAACCTACATCAATTATATCCAAAGGAAACCTACATCAATTATGTCCAAATTTCCAAAAATATTTTACTGGTTTTTGTCTGCTTTCCTGGAACTTTGAAATTCTTTCTTTGCTCTGAAACAGCACACCAGATGGTGCCAGCATATGGGTGAAACAAAACATCTTCCTTCTGGAAGGACAGAAAATAATCTATTTCAACGTTCCAGGAAGAAAGCTTAGAGAAAAAGGCTTTTGGCCATGTCCACAGGAGTTTCACAACAGGCTAAGGCTGGGTTAAGGATGTGGAGGCAGAGGAAAGCAGACAAAAACCACACTTCCCAAATACCAGTTATGAGAGTAAACAGTGGACAAGTCCTGCTGCACAAATCTGATCAGACTCTGTGCCCAGCAGTTTCCTTAGTTTGGGCAAACTCGCTCCCTTTTGCAGATTCTGCAGTCACTCTGAGGATGAGTTCTAGACAGCCGGGCTGGTATCTTTGCCTGGCTTTGGAAAGTACAAGTCTTGGTGGGAACATAGTACCATTACCTCCAGCAAGAACTGGTCTTCTCCTTGCTCCCTATATTTGTTTGTTGCAAGGAGTGGGGCGGGGGGCTTTATTTGTCCCTGTCTGTGCGCATACAGGAATCAGTCTCACCCCCTCTATCACTTTCCATCAGCTGACTAACACCTTCCCCACTCTTCAGCTCCCCAGTCCTGGGAGCTCCTCACTTCCCCCATCCTTTCACCGCTCCTTACCCAGAACCCAGACTGTGAACCTACCTTGCCTTGTAAACTTAGAGTAGCTGAAAAGAGAAGATTTTGTTTCTCACTACTCGCTTCTTCCTAGTAGGAGACCGAGAGCTGTGGAAACGCAAAGCTGTTTTTTGCTGTCTTGCTGGAATTGGGTGGGGTCTGCGTGGCGCGCGCCTGGGTGTGCGCGTGGACCAGGGTTGGGAACAGAGGGGGGAGGAGGCCCGCGATCCAGCCCCTGAGTGGGTGGACCGCACCCCACTTCTCGGAAGAGGTCCCTCTGCCTGCCCCGCCCCCTTCCTCCCCCCCCCCCCCCCCCCCGTCCCCGACCCGCTCAGCGCCAGGGTAGCGGGCTCATGCTCTCTGGGCCGTTCGCGCTGGAACTGGAGTGGCGGCGGTCGAGTGTACTTCACCGCCTCGGAGACCAGCGGCAACTCCGCGAGTTTTCAAAGGCCAGGAGAGTTCAGGAGATGCCCAGCACTGGTCGTCCCTCACAGTCAATCGGTGCTAACCTCTTGTGGGACAGAATTTGGAAGCGTCTGTACTTGATAGCAAGTTGTCAAAGGGGAAGGGGAAAAAAAAACAACGGAAAGGGCTCGTCCGGGATTTGAACCCGGGACCTCTCGCACCCAAAGCGAGAATCATACCCCTAGACCAACGAGCCACGGCAGAGACAAAGCGCTGAAGTTTCCTCTGAACTACACTTTGCTGCCACCTGTTGGCTGCCAGGCCATACGAGGGTTGTTTGCTGTTTTCTGCTCCATCTCATTGCTCCTTCCTGTCCTGCCAAACCTCAACATCTTTTTTCTACTTCCTCCCTCCCTCCCTCCCTCTCTCTCTCTGTCTCTCTCTGTCTCTCTGTCTGTCTGTCTGTCTGTCTCTCTCTCTCTTCTTTCTTGTAGCACTTGTACCCCGCAATATTCGGTACGGTCCAGGGGATTCTGACCTCGGCGTTTGGACTTTAGGTAAACACCCTAGGATTAACTAGAAGCCAAAAGAAAGCACATCCTGGGAAAGTGGCTCAGGATTTCCAATCTGCCGCAAAATCCCTGAAGAGGTGTCCAAACGACTGTTTAAGAAAACACTGTTCTTATAAAGGTCATGTACAGAGAGGTTGCAGTTACACAAGTCAGGCAATGCGTACTTTTCCTTTTGGACAATGGCACCCCTTCCCCGACTCTCTCCCAGTTTACCCTCTCATCCTATCCACAAGACGTGTACTTTACCTTCAACATGGTGTCTAGTGAGTCTCGCCGCTGCATTTGTTCACTCTGTCCTCCATTTCTGTGCCCCCCTTAGCCTCCCAAAGACGTAAAGGAACTAACGGAAAAGGAAACAGAAAACGGCAACCAAGAAAAAAACACTTCATTTCGATACTCTTCTGGATAGGATGCACATAGGCATTTCGTGGTGCCTTTTGTTCATGTTTTAAGTTGTGATGTACTTCGAAAAGTGTTTACAAAGAACTCCAGAATAAACTGCAAACGCAAAGCAATACCTCTCCTTCAAACTGGAGTCGAACCGGAAACCTGGAGGTAACAGTCCTCCCGTCTACCAGCCGAGCTACCGAGGGGAACGTACCTAGGATTTTGGAATTCTTTATTCGAGATGCTGATGAGCACAGGCAGCGAGGGAAGGCGAGAATTTGGGGGCCTGGGATACAGCGAACGCACAAGGCAAGTCTGTGGGAAAGCCCTGCTTTAGCAAGTGCGGGGACGATCCTTCGAGCCTGACTCTCTGAGAGGCGTCTTAGCGTAGACACACGGGAGTCGACTCCAGACCCTGAGCGCCTGCAGAGCCGGGACCCCCGGCTCGCCCGGGGACTGCTGGCCCACGGGTGCGTGCAGGTGCGTGCAGCAGGTGCGCGCGCGCACTTCCTCCCCTCCCCTCGCTGACCAGGCGCGTCTGCACCCACGGAGGGGAGGGGGAAAACTTGGAATATAATGCACATGAGAAAACCCGGGATCTCTTGTGATTTTAGAAGGAAAATCATAATTCATTTGATACCATATCAAGTTTAGTGACTCAATGCTTGTAACCCACAAGTGTGGGGCTCCCAGGGAATCCTAGAACCAAGTCTGCAGCGGAGGTCGGGCTCCCCGGCTTTGGGGGCGGGGGGGGTGTTATCTTGTTTTTCACATCTGCACACAGACCACGCAGAAACAGGTTCAGTTCCCGCCCCGCCCCACCCCGCCCCCCCCCCCCCCCCCCCGGCCGGTTTGCTTCCTACCCGGGCGCTGCTGGGTCAGGGCACGGGACCAGAGTGGCCACACCAGGGCTTCCGCAGCTCCTTGGAGCCTCTGCGGCTTTCGCCCTCTGATTCTGGAGCATAAAAGGAGCGCAAGGACTTGATTTCTACATGACCGCGAGGTTCAGTCGAGAGAGGAGGGCAGTTTACGTATAATAAAGAGAAATTCTTTTCTGAAAAAGCGAACAACAGGCCCCAGCGAGATTTGAACTCGCGACCCCTGGTTTACAAGACCAGTGCTCTAACCCCTGAGCTATAGGGCCAGGCAGAGGGTGGTTCTCTTTCTTTTGTAGAAAAGGAAGCTTTCCTGGATCTTCACTAAACCAAGTGTAAGACGCAAATAAAATTCTTGATTTTATTTTACCTTCTTTCACAGCTACAGTAATGTAATTCCATCTGCAAACTCTGGTCTAATTGGGAACAATGCTGAGTAGCGAGGGCTTCCATAAGTGCCCACGTCGACATTAACAGATAGATACCGCCCGGTGCATCTGTCTCCCCCCCGACTTTCAGAATGAAACTTACGGATTCCAATTCTGTATTAGGCACTGCACCAGAAACTAGAGATCCAAACATGAGCTGTAACTTGTAGTCACTATCACAGTTTTGTGGAACCAAAGAACTGCATTTTTGAATGGAAGACGGCCATGAAAGGCAAATGTGCCAGGTGTGTAAGGGTCCCGGATTGCAAAGTCAGCCACCCTGAGGGGCCTGAAGGAAGGGTGGGGTAGAATCGCACAGCGCTGGGGGATTTAGGCAAACGTGAGAGCAGGGCTACCCGTGCCAGGAAAAAAAATAAAAAGCAAAGCCCAAGAACACATCAGTATTGTTTTAATTTTTATTTTTCATTGTTATTATAAATGTGATGTACAGAGGGGTTACAGTTACATAAGGCAGGTAAAGAGTACATTTCTTTTTGGATAATGTCACCCTTTCCCTCCATATATCCCAGTTTTTCCTCCTGCCCCTACCCAGGAATTGTGTAGCTCCTTTAGTGAATGTCACTGCTACATTTGTTCATCCTTTGTCCATCCATTCAAAGCAGCAGTATTTCAGACTCCATGGTAGAACACAATCTGGGGCAGACACCCTGCCCCCCTTTCCTCAAAAAGGGAAGAGTTAAAAAGATGTGTTAGTAGGTGACAGTAATGACGTTAGACTTAAAAAACAAACAAACAAAAACAAAACAGAAAATGGAAACCCACCAAGCATAGATTGCAAAATACATTGAAGAGTAGATAAGCCAGTCAAAGGGAAACACAAGGATGCCCAAGCACAAAACCAAAGGGATAAGAATTATTGAGCCACAAAAGAAGAGATAAAGGAAATTGATAATTAATATGAAACATATAGAGGAAAGAGAGTGGGTTCTCACCAGTACCTTGAAGAAGCAAGGTGATACCTGTAGGGAAAAAAAAAAAAGGAAGTTTGTTCCTAAAGGGTTGTGGAAAGGAGTGCAGTGGACAGGATTAGGTAGGCTACCTTAGAGGTCCTAGCAACCCATAACAATTGTGCTAGTCAGAATATGCTTGTCAGTTCCATGGACTGATTGGTCAAGGTTAAATCAAATCACATAAGTCATTCATTGAGTTGGAGCCAGAGTTAGGAACTCATTAAGGAGAATAAAATGAGAAAACAGCAGAAGCCTGGATATGAGCTTAATGAACAGTCCTATTATAACCATATCTATGACTGTCCCATATCCTTTAAACATTTTAAGTCCAGTCATTTACATATGAGTAAATCTGTTTGAGAAAACTTGTTTTCATGGGTTGGGAAGCTGGCTCAGTGGTAGAGTACTTGCCTTGCATGCTTGAGGCCCTGGGTTTGATTCCTCAGCACCACATAAACAAAAAGAGAAAATTTGTTTTACCAGTTTAGACAGCAAAGTGATGTGACCTGGGTTCCACTGATCGGGCAGTGAGGAAAGGGTACAACTTGAAGCAAAAGACTAGTATATGACCCCATAGGGGGAAAACCTCATATTTTCACAGATATGGGAGTAGGTATTGATTTTGCTTTAGTTCTGCAAAAAAAAAAAAAAAATACACTGCATGACCTAAACAACTCATGTTTTTTTTTATTGTGAAAATACTGTACAGAGGAGTTATAATTACGTGGGCAAGGTAATGAGTACATTTCTTATCAAGCATTGTTGCCTCCTCTGTTGTTTCCCCTACCATCCCTCCCCCCCCCACCTGCCATGGAGTCAAGGAAGTTGTCCTAAAGGGGTGACCGCTCGGAAAGGGACCCTTTCCAGCAGATCTGCTTGGGAGGAGATGAACTTGCAGATGAAGACCGCTCTGTTGCCCATATCTGCGCATCCATGTCTCCTGGAGCTGAAGAGAATTAGTAGGTTTGGGCTACCAGTATAAAAGTTTGTCTTGATCCTTTCATGCACCACTATGTTTCCAGTAGATAAATGTTCTCCAAGCTTCAGAACCTAAACGAATCTTTGCTAAATTTAGCAAAGAATTTGAAATTGAATAGCAAAGAGCTATGCTCTTCTTGATCCTTTCCCTTCCCTTGTCGATCTGGGGAACAAATCAAGAAGCCTATTCAGAAAGTAGTTATAAGCGCTAGCTAGGCACCAGGCTGAGGCTGCTGACAACCCTGCCTTCAGCAGATGGTTTGCTTTAAGAAAGATTCTTCTTTTTCCATTGGGAGTGAGGGACTCTGTTTCTGTGGGTGGATGCGTGTTCCCATAGAGCAGTTCTTTCTGGGAATTTCTCAGCGTCCTTCAGGCAATACTTGAAATCAGTGTCATGTCTCTGACTAGAAGTGCAATGCTGAAAACAGGATGGAATGATATAACTAGGAAAAGCAGATAAAAGAAATTGGTCAAGTTAGTAGGGTGGCTGAATGATCTAAAG